CAGCACATCTCTATCACTCGTATGTACTGAATACGTAAGACTGTCAACTGATCACTCTCAGCTGACCTCATTCTAGACCAAAAAGAATATAGCAAATAAAGATCAGAACTGTTAATGGCTTTACTTTTACACAGTTACAGTGTTCTAATACAATTCCTTGGTCTGTGTCCAAACAACAACAAAATTACATGACAAAGTCCCCAGCTAATTAGTCACATTCATTATTTATTAGGGGAGAGTGGACAAAAAATACTAGCTTATTTTCTCACCACCCCCAGCTCTGCCTCCAGTAATCTGTATTATGTATAAACTTTTACAATTTTTCAAAAGGAAGAAAAGAAAAAAATCCCAAGTCTAGCCATGAATTTTCCACACCAACTTCACTAGACAGGTTTTCACTCAAGAACAACAAGAAGCTGAACAAAGTTTGAAATTTAAAAATTAATTAACTTTAGCTACTTACAAAAATATGGCTAAGCTGGTGGTGTTTATGCGCCTCTCTCATCTCACCCTTTAGTTGTTCCTCACAGTCCATCAGTGTCCATTAATATCTTGTGTTACTCTTTGTAGAATTGGGTAGACCAGGATCATGCTTGTTCTGAGTTTGTACACAGCCTAGCCTTCAGGACATGAGTTCTGGTGTTCTAATAACCAGCAGTATTTATAAAAATAACATTATTATTATTAGTCTGAAATAAAAATTATTTTCCTCCTAAGTTCCTAACATCTCTTGCAAGATCTCTTCTCCACTAAGCAAATCTGGTATTTAAAGATTGTATTTTGCAAATTGCCTTTGAAAATACATTTGCACACACACATGAAAGCGAAATTAAATAACACTTGCTAATCAAGCAAGGAAAGACACTTTTTTTGTCCACAATGAATATATAGCCCATTCAAAGAGCAAAGCTGAAAGTCTGATTTAAAGGACAGCAATGAATTCACACCTGGCTTTAGAAAGAAGGAGCAAAAGAGAAGTGAGTGAATTCAATGCAGCTGAACAACACATAACTAAAAGGCAACTGATTTCTTCCACACAAGCTCTAAAGAGTCTTCTCCCATCCCATATATCACACAGATGTCTTTATCTTTAAAAAACAAACAAACAAAAAAAAAAAAGGTGAAAAAATCAACCCAAAACATAACAAACCACAAAAACTGTGGTTTTCATGAACTCCTACCAATGTCTGCCATCTTCACTCCAAAACCACTGGATCAGACTTGTACATGCTCCTTGCTTTGCACCTGTCATAAATTTCACCTCACAAGATGGGTGAAACTGAGCCCAATGTTAAAGCGTAAGCATGAAGTTAAAGTCTTGCTTTCATTGCTTGGGCTTTTGTATTCCTCTACCATCACTGCACAGCTCTCTGGGGCTTTAGTTTTCAGACTCTTCATCTGATCATTTTCCATCATTTTGGGAGCTATGTATTTGAAGGATCAAATCCACTTGTGGGAAATTCATCCTTCTGAACTACAAAGAGGTGCTCACAAACAAGCCAGTATCTGGAACGGGTAGTTCCATGGGTGAGGAATAGGCACAGCATCCATAGTCAGCTGGATTAGGAATGTCCTGTGGCCATACTCTCAGCCTGGTGACAGAAATTGGGCTGGAAATAAACTGACAATTCAACTGGGCTGAACAGAAGAAAGCACCAACACCTTTACTATTCATAACAGAAGAGAAAACATTGCAACATGCTGGCATGCTATCACAAGCCCATGTTCACTACTAGCCGACGTTCTCAACCATAGCACTCTTGACGGTTTACAGACAAATTAGCATAATTCTGCTACTTGCAGCGGGGTTTTCTTCTAAGTATCTGATAAAGTCAGCATTGGAGACTGCTGATGCACCCTACTTCAAAACTCCTTTCCTCATCAACAAACTCAGCAGGTTCCACAGACTGCATTAACCCCAGCATGGTACTAACATGGCTGTGATATCTCAACCAGGCTGCATACAAAAGATGAATTAAACAGGACTGTGAATTAACCCACGCTTCAAGACAAAGTACTAGCAATTACACTATTAATACTTTTTCATCTCATCTTAAATGGCTGAAAATCCAAATGCAGCCAAAGCAAATATGGGCTGCATAAAAAGGGTTTCATGTGCAAAATGAGTCTGCATAATCAGCACCTTGGTGTAATTTGTTTCCATATAGAGATTAATGAACTAGTCTGACAAAGTAAGAAAACACAGCACTTCTCAACAAGGCTTTACAGGCTCTCCAAGAGTCTCTGGCTATTCTGCCATTACCCACCAGTAGCACACAGCATACTCATGTCTCTTCCAGCATAGTAGCATAGCAGGGAAGAACAAGCAACCAAAACGTTATCCAGTGTTCTCCTCCTGGACAGCTACACATCTACAGCAACATAAAACCACAATTTTTGTATCTTCCCCATGAACACAAGTCTCTCTTTTTTGTCATATATATTCTCTCTTTCCATGACTTCAGAAACTGGAGAAATAGTATGTATCTTTATAAGGTACTTCATCCTCTCTATCTCCATGCTTAAGAGTGAGGGTCAAAACTAGACTATCAAACATGAAGCCACACAGTGGACTCCTTTCTGGAGCAGAGAATATGGCTGTAAGACCTGATAGTGCCAGTACTTTGACTAGTGGACCAAAGTCTCAGGCACCTCTTAACAATATTAATTCCACTGCTGACCCTATGATGCTTTCATCCATGTATCACAGGCAGCCCATAGAAGTGACTTTGTCACAAGCCTCTGAAACCTCTAACATTCCACTCAAGGGCACAGACATCAGGTGTACATGTGAATACACACCAGAACACCACATGATGCTTCTTAATTGCATTATCCAGATGGCATACACTGCAAAACCCACTTTGCTTTAAAGTCCAAATAAATTCTGAAGCTCTTTAAAATTTCTCTTACTATGAAGGTATTGGTCAATGCAACAATTTATGCCATCTCTCAGGAGTGAACACCCCTTCAATATACTTTGCTACCAGTCTCCAATTCAGAAGTCCATGTCTGGGAGTCAAATGCTGCTGACTCCATGCCACTTCTCCATTTGGAAGGAATTCCAGCTGACAAACCACAACCAGATCATGCCAGTCCTATTACCCTTCCAGTGCTTTGCAGTTGGACCTCAGTATTCATTTTATGCCTTCTTCTCTCATTAACAGAAATACAACCTGCTTGGAAAACCCACCTTCCAACATACTCAGGGTCACATATCCAGAGATACTTTTGAGAAACACACTTGCAGTTCAGTCACTTCAGGCTTAAAAGCACCCAGAAACACAATGCCAAAGGCAGAGAAGTTTAATCTGTTGCTTTAAAATTACTTGGAAGAATCCTCCCATTACGCTTTGAGAACTCCCACACTAACAATCTCTAAAGAAATACACAGAAACCAAAGGTAATTTATTTACAGTGTTAAATTTTAAGCCCTCCCAGTTTATAATACTCAAAAGTATAAACAGAAAAAGCAGAAACAGAGCAGGTAATGACAGTTAGAAACATTCCTCCAGAAGGTAAATATGTGCACCTGGTTATCAACGGTGACTTGACAGTTTACTATGTACACTAAATGTAGCCTAACAGGCATTACTGCACTCATCTCACCTATGAGGTAGGTTTACTATTCAAGGAAGTAAATACACAAGCACAATATTTTTGTATGTATGGGTACTCCTAGGTGTAAGGCAGAAATACCAGCAACCTCTAACAGTCCTACTGCTTGAAAGCATGTTGAGGGTTGACAAAGAGGACAGTACACTTCCATTTTATAGGTACACATAGGAAGTTCCTCTAAGCCTCCTCTACCACTTAAGACCTTCATTACTAAGGGGAGAATTATGGGACCAGAAGCCCGTTATAGTGCTCTTCATCCTAAAGCTACCACTCAAGTGTCAAGCACTGGTTCCGTAGCAACAAAGATGTTTCAGCCTGTCAGGCCTCAGTACCATGGATGGTCTGACCCAGACACCATAACCACAACTCATGGCATTTGATAGACTCAGTGAAGAGCTACAGTCTGATAGCCCAACTGCGTCAGACTGAGTCTCTCAGTGCTGTAACAAAATTGCTCTGAAGTAATATGCAGATAACTTGCATTTATGCTGCTATTTTCCTTTATGTGGTTTTTGTTTTGGATTTGTTTCCTTCTTTTTCCCCCCATCTGTGGATACCGGAAAGATCCCAGTGGTAATACAGCACTCCTAATTATCCAATCCTGAACTTATTAAATAAGAATTATTATCTAGATTGGAAAAAATAAAGATACATTCAAATGGGTACCCTTTAAACTTTCATACACATTTATTTTCCATAATCAGTGCACATCTATTACACAAATCCTCTATAGTACTATACATAGACTTAATCCTACTACCCTGGTTATCCCAAGAGAAAAATAATTACAGAAAACTCTTCATAATAAAATCATTAAGCCTAAATCTAGGGGATCTCAGCCAGTGGGTGTGTTCATCAGGTTGTTCCAAACCGCACCGATTTCAGCGCACTGCCCGCGCACGCTTCGATGGGATTTGATTCGGGCCTCTGCACAGAAAGGCTGCATTCCCAAACTTTCCACAGGTCGCCCACCCAGGCCTCCTGACCGCGGCCACCGCGCCCGCAGGAGCCTGCCCGGCCCCGGCAGCTCGCACGCCCCGCAGGCACAGTTCTGCGAACACCTCTGCGCACACGGCCGGGGTCACATCCTTCGAGCCGCGCCAGCCGCGCTTCACCCGGCCAAGTCTCCACTCCCGGTGCTCAAACTCCTTCAGACGCCGGTGGCTCCCCACGCCCCCCGCCCGCTTCGCTAGGACTCGCCGAGGGCCGGCCGGCCCGCCCGGCGTCGGAGTCCCCCGCAGCCTCCCGCCGCCGGCCCCAGGCAGCCCCGCCGCCGACCCCAGGCCGCCCCAGCGCTCCCGGCCGGCCCGGGCCGCCTCGCCGGCCCCGCACCCCGGCCCGGGCCCCTCAGCCGCCCCCGCCCGCTCCCTCCCGGGACGCACCTTAAGGCTCCCCCGGAGGGGGCCCTTGCCGTGGCCGGCCAGCGCGGGGGGGGCGCTCCCCAGGCCGCCCTCCTCCTCCTCCTCTTCCTCCTCCACCTCAACCACCACGTCCTCGTCTTCGTCCTCTTCTTCCAGCGCCGCAGCGGAGCCTTCCCGCCGGGGCGGCCTCCAGGCGCTCTCGGGTTTGGGGGGCCGGACCGCGTCCACCTGCGGCGCCGCCGCGCTCAGCCGCCGGCTGCCCATGCTGGAGCGCTTGGCCAAGCGCCGTGCCTGCATGGTGCCTCCGCCCGGCCGGCCCGGCCCGGCCGCCTCCCGCCGCGCTCAGCCCCGGCCGCGGGCAGCGGCCCCGCCGAGGTGCCCAAGGGGCGGCGGCGGCGCTCACCGGGGGGCGGCGGTGGGTGTGTGCGGCGGGCGCGCCGCGGCCATGGGGGCCCGCGACCGCGGCCAGGCGGGCCCGCAGCCGGCGTGGCCGGCCCGCCGCTCGCCCACCTGCTCCGGTGCCCTCCTTCTCCGCCGGCTGCCCGCCCGGCCCGGCCCGGCCCGGCCCGGCTGTCGGGCTCAGCGCGCGCTCCCCTCCCGCTCGCCCTTCCTCGCCGCCGCCGGTCCCCGGCGCCAAAACCCGGACTGGATTCCCTCCGGCCGCGGCTCCGCCAGGCGCGGGGCGCTGGGGCCGCGCTGCCTTCGCCGGGAGCCGCGGGCGGATTTCGCTGCCGGGCAGGCGGCCCCCGCCGCCCACCCGCCTCGCCCGGGTGCGCCCTGCCGGGACAGCGGCGCGCCGGGTCGCCCCGGCCCGCCCGGGCTGTGCTCACACGGCAGGAGGGCCAGGGGCGCCCGGCAGGACATTGCGGGGCTGCAGCGTGTCCAGAGAAGGGCAACAAGGCTGGAGAAGGGTCTGGAGCACAAGTCCTGTGAGGAGGCGCTGAGGGAGCTGGAGTTGTTTAGCCTGGAGAAAAGGAGGCTCAGGAGGGACCTTAGTGCTCTCTACAAGTCCCTGGCAGGAGGTGGTAGCCAGGTAGAGGATGGCTTTCTCTCTCAGATAAGTAGTGACAGGATGAGAGGATAAAGTCTTAAGCTACGCCAGGGGAGGTTTGGGTTGGAAATCAGGAGGAATTCCTTCATTGAAAGGGTGTTTAGACATAGGACTGAGGTGCCCAGGGGATGTGGTGGAGGGAGTCCGTGTCCCTGGAGGCGCTTAAGGAAAGACTGGAAATGGCACTTGATACTGTAATTTAGTTGACACGGTGGTGTTCAGTCATAAGTCGGATTCGATGATCTCAGAGGTCTTTTCCAACCTAATGGATTCTGTGACAACCTCCACCTGCAGGACAGGCTGCCAGATTTCTCAGGCCTCAGTAAAATAAAATTATTTCACTTGTCCCCCCCGAAAAAGATAAATGGGGGAAAATGGAACTTTTGAAGAAAAAAAAAAATTAAGAAATTTGGTTTATTCAAGATAAATAGTTGAAGCAGTGGTATCTATACCCTGTTGAGAAGAAAATTATCTGGGACAGTTAGGGGAATAATTTCTGGTTTAAATTATGTGCTTACAGTGTTAAAATACCTTCCTGAAAAGCTTTATTAGAAAAATTTAAATAGTTTCCAAACATTCTGAAGTTACTGTGGCCAGCATTTAAATTTGCTACAGGCTTCCATGGCATTCATTAATGCCTCCTGAGATTGAATTATACTTAAGGTTGTCACATGCTTTTCCTAAACTCTTCCTCTATAAGTCCTAAATCTGTATTTACATGCTATTTTTGAGACATATGCATATTCTTTTCCATCTACAAATGAATTACAGTAATTCCTTTCTCAGTGCTCAGTACTTTTCTCCCTGCACATTCTGTTCTAGAGACCTGCCAACAGGCCAAATGTACACATATTGTCAGCATGGGGCCAAGCTTCAGCCTAGGTTAATTCATCCCTTTCAGAAAGTAATGGGTTTTTTTTATTCTGGAATATAACATACAGCATTTTTTAGGCAAGAAATTATACATAATACAGTACCCATTCTTAAAGAAATACTGAAGTTACTTTCCATGTCAAACTCTGTAAATTGTTTGGATTCTCTCAACCCAACCCACAAACCAGCTGTTTGCATTCATTATTTCAAGGTTCCCACAGATCTGGGTCAAGATCTGCAACAAAATTGCTGCCAAATTCTGGCATATCAGGGCTTCCAGCAGTATCAACCCACCCTTCCAAAAGTGTCTTTTCCAGATATTTTGCCTGTGCTCTGACCAGCTGCATTGCAATGTCCGCTCAGCCCATCTCAGCAGAACAGCAGCCAGAACTCCTGATACATGCTGCCACAAGATGTTCTGTCTTTTTTCCTGCCACTGCATGTGTACTTAGCTTCTTGACACCTGGCTGAGTGGATCAGTCATAGTTTTTTGAAGCTGATGTTGCATAAAGGAGAGATCTGTGGAAAAAAAACCCAAAAAAACCAAAAACAAACCCGAGAGCAATGCTTTTTTTTGGTTTTATTCCTGTGCTGAATGTTCAGATTTAGAGTTTAGATTTGACATAATTAAGTTATGCTTAGGTTTTACCTTAAACATGAATTTTAATATGAATTTCAATGATAGTCACAGTTCCTTTTATGTTTAGGTTTTACCTTAAACATGAATTTCAACATGAATCTCAATGATAGTCATAGTTCCTTGTACCTTAAAGGCATGGAAATAGAATAATTCCAATACCTTCTACTCTTCAAATTATTTGAAATGTTTTGTATCATTTGAATACCACCTGAATCTAATTGTGATCTTTCCTAGTGGTCTGTGTTCACAGTTATCTGAATTATAATTGTGTTACTAAGGGTCCCATTCCTATTTGCCACATACTAAGAGACTTCCTTAACTTTTTCAAAGTCGTGTATGTTTTAATTGCAGCAAAACAAGAAACAAACTTAGAAACTATATGCAGCACGTGTGTTATCACTGAATTTGATTATATGTGCTAGCATGAACACCACAAATAACAGAATGGAAACCAAAGTATCTCTTGCAGAAAACAGTGGTGATAAAGGATAGCTGGGCTTGTACAGGCACATCTGTTAACTCCCATGACAGCTCACACTTCAGCCTCTTTGAACTCCCTATTCAGCCTTTTTGCCAGGTTTGTTCTGGGACTTGCTGTAAGGTACAGCTAACTTGACACCTCTTGCCCCGAGGCTTGGTGGGTGAATATAAAAGCAGAGCTTGTTAACCAATTATCAGGCTTTTAGTTGTCAGTTCAACATTTGTTTCAAGAATTATTTAGCTGGGTTCTCTGGTTTGGTAGCATGGTGGCAGGAGGCAGAGAGGCTCAGGCAAGTTCTCAGGAACACACAGCACATCCCAGGCCCGTCTGCAGGAGCATGCTCCACCCCCAAAATGCCGCCTCTTCTCCACAGGACTCTACCAGATCATGGCCCATTAGATCTCAAAGCAGAGCAGGACAGCATGTGAGCCCTACAAGAGCTGGTCAGGGTGACAGAGGAAAGTGTAACCAAATTCTGGTGGAGGAAGAGGTGCCAAAATAGTTTTGGGATCCAGAGGGAATGACAGTCCAGAGTTCACTAGGCTGATGGCCAGGTCAGTCCCAGGAAGGGGTTTAGAGAAGACTGACTTTCCATTAGTAATCTGAGCTGCTAATGTTTTTTACTCCCGTTGGGTTATCAAATGCAATGAGAAGCCAGTGTTGACAACTCTACAACAGATTGGCTAAAGATTTCTAGCACTTCTCAGGCAAGCCAGATTGGAGCTGTAGTAGGAATAACTTCTCTCACAATATTTGATACAAACAAAAGATAGAAATGTCTGTTTGCTCCATTTCTTCCAGTCTGCCTGACTTGCAGTACGAATGGAGCTGAAGCTGAACCCTTGCTGTCCTTCTAGTGCTTCCCAGGGGAGCTAAATTATGGAGGAAGTCAGGGAGTCCTACATACAGTCTTCTTCTATATCTTTACATTCACAAACAGTTAAGAGTCAAACACAGGTCATAATTCACTATCACACATCAACATTTTTTGCCCAGGACTCAGTCTTAGCACTGATAGAGCTGAACAATTCTGGCCCATAGCCATGGCCTGATATCAAGTCAATTCTTGTGATATATGGGGTAATACAGTATCACTTAGCTCAACAGAGATATCTCATGATTGTACCACTGCATAATTTGCCTCTAATGCAAGTACAGGCTCTGGCTGGAATAAGAACTGTTTGCATGTCAATGATTTCCAAGCTTATTAAAAGTTAATGTGCACATCCACACTCCCTTTGTGTACACAGCTCTCCAACACAGCAGAAATGTTTCAGACGCTTCTTTGCCTGTAACCTTAACAATCAGTTCATACTTCCAAAAATGAAATTTCTCTCTAAAGACATATGAGACAATTCAAATGATAAGTACATATAAGCATCTATATCTCCTTCTAGAAGTTCTTCTAGAGCAAATGAAGGTGAATTACACTGACAGCTTTTCAGTTCATCTTGAATAATTATTGTCTAACTTCTTTCAGTATACCCACTCGGCAGCCCTTTGCACTAGCCACAGAAAAAAAAAAATCTGGCTTTTCCTAGCAATGCCTTAACTACTCTGTGCTGATTAACATCAGGTGGAGTTGTCTTATGATACATATTTTTCACAAACATTTCATTTAGTCCATCATTCAGTTAAGTATTCCTCAAATTTTTAATATAATTATTTACTGATCTGTTTGACATTTAGTTCTATTCAGCAGCTGCTACTGTGATCATGACTGCAGGCAAAGCTTGCCTGACATAACATCAAGGGAACAAGTTCCTTTTAGCATGACTCTGTAACCTCCCTGCTTGCTGGTCTCAGATCTGCTTCCACCAGGGACCATCACTCAGCAATGCACTTCCAGCAGAGATGAGCACTAGCCACAGCCAATAAGCACTAGTTCGGGTGTGCTTTAGTTTGCCTCATGGGAGCAGGTGGCTACATCACAGAAGGCATTTTATTGGACCACCCTGAATATTGCCTCAGCTAGCTCTCCTTTATTTTTTTTCCTTTCCTTTCTTTTTTTCCATGCCTTCGATGAAAGAATACATTTCTTGTTATTTTGTTTAATATCTGAATATTTTTTTCCCCTGAAAACAGGGGAAATGAATGCCGGCTTTTCATCACTAGAGGCAAGATTCTCCCTGCTCCTGCCTCCTCCCAGACTGATGCTATGCTTCAGCTCTTGCCTTTAAAAAATCTAGCAGCAGTACAAAACAAAGAAACCCTCCATTTACTGCACATTTAATCACTTTTTTTTCAAATATAACCTAATCAAGGAGTCATTCACTTTTCACCTTTTAGTGTGCAACAAATGTATTTGTTTGAGCGCTGGTATTCAAACCAGCATGTGCACTAACTGTGTGTGTGTGTTCCACTCTCCTCATAATCCCAGGCATTTGAGCCCCTGCCAACTTCTTTATTCGGGGACCTGCCTTCTCCACACTCCCTTTGTAAACTTTGCATTTGTTTTGCTTTCTAGTGATCATTGAAGTTCTCACTCCAGCTGGGAGGACAGCCAGGCACCTTCAAGAACAAGGGAATGATTGACAATATTAGGCAGAAA